TGTAGGCACATACATTTCATAATAAATTGCCTTAAAGCACTAAAATGAAACCAGAAAGGAGAAGTATGAATGCAGCAGCATCCCTGCTCAGGAGTAACTATTCAGCCAATACCAAAATATTTGAAAATATATGCAGATAGTAGTAGCGTCTTATAAACTACATCAAGAAAATTCTTATATGGAAGTATGGAACCGAACAACAGAATAAGCATAATATTTGACAAACTGCAAAAATCAAATTCGCTGACACATAGATAATCTTAAGATAAATCAAATACTTGCATGTAGGTTAACAAAATAAAATGAAATAAAGCAGAGATTCATTGTTTTCACTTCAGAACTCAGTTTGACGTTATCCCAGTCTCAAATCAAAAGCAAATGTACTTTACCTCAACAACTTCTGTGCCACCATTTTGAATGCGATCAGTCAGATAATCAATTTCTTGTTGGGTGAAAGAGAAGAGAGGCTTAACCTATAAAAGAGTGAACAACAATCTACTTATAGAATTCCATAAATGGCATTTTAACACGAAAAGTCATGATTTTATCATTCAAAAAGTTCTCTCAAACCTGAGATAGAAGAGGTAAAATAGTAACCCCAGCATGTCCCCCTACAACTGGGACATCAACTTCCCTGGGATCAACCCCCAAAACTTCTGCCTACAGTAAATCCAAAAGAACAAAAATGAAATCACTCAATTTTAGTTGTGAATATTTGCAACAGCTCAATAGCCGTTAATACATAAAATAAAGTAACACCTGACACAATCCAAAGGCTACGTTAAATCATCTCTACATTCTAACCTTGTTGCTCCAACCCACTAACTTGGATACTGATCGACAGATCATAACATTATTAAACACAACAAAAGACTAGCAAATAGTTTCAGGCATAACTTGGAAACTTTTAGGCATTTTTCCATTAATTTAACCTCTATTTAAATTCTTTTTCCACTTTTTATGACCCAAAGTTCAACGTTTGTTTTGCCATCATTCTATTTTTCCCTTTCTAGCCTTCTATTATGGTCAATAAATTATAGCAATATAC